TCCCACATTGTCACTTATTTATACTTGGCAGAATCGTAAGTGTGAAGAATCCCAAGTATGGTTTTCTTGGTATGAAAAACTGAAATAAAGTATCATAAAGAAAACTATGTCTAAGTCATCCTAGAATTAAGATTGTAGCTTTAAAAGTATGTAATGCATTCTAATTCAATGATACCATCTTCGAAATTTCTTTAAAAAACAAAAAATCATTCATCAGAAGGCAGACTAGATCTATAACATTACTAAAATGCTCTACTCTGGTAAAAATAATTTGCTTATCATATGGTATGATGTAATACATATATAACACATTTTAATTCAGAAATTATGAAAATAAAAACAAAGCACAATCCACTCGCTGAAACTCAAATCTACAAATAGGATGTAGTTAGAAATCTCAGTGCAAAAAATAGTGCCACTGCCTTATTTTTTTCTTTACCTTCTTTTTAGTGAGAAATATTTCAGATTTCACTTAGAACTTGTCAAAAAACAAAGTGCCAAAATGTATATATCTTTATGTATATTTTATAAATGTGCATGTAAACATAAAATGGATATATTTTATAAAGCCATTTTCATATCTTTTACTGTATTGGGGCTTACTAATGGCAATAATTATCCCTGATTCTAATAAAGTTTACTTCTAAAATACATCAAGTTATACTTTATATATTTTAGCAACCACCTTAGCAAGCATTACTTATGAATTCAATCTACACTGGAACATTCCCTCTGGGATCCCTAAGCTACCATACAGAAGTCCCATGTTGGAAAGGGTAAGTGCAGGTGCTCCCTAGTCGATGGTCCCAGTGAAACCAAGCACACCTGGAAATTCTAGAGACTAACACCAAGATATGGTTCAAGAAAATTATTGAACTTCATTGAAAAAAATTTTCAGCCTTAAGGCAAAAAAAAGAAAGCAATTTTTAAGGAAAAGTAAGTTTAATTATCAACAGACTTTTCAACAGCAACACTCCATCAGCAAAAAATGGAGAAAAATGTCAGATGTAATCATGGAAAGAAAATTTTATACAGAAGACAGAAAAACTTTAAGAACTCAGGAATAATTGTTCCTACTGAGCCTCTCCTGATTCATCTACTGGAGAACAGGCTTCAGACAACCAAATAGAGAAACATCAACATAAGGATGGTAGTGACCATTAAATACACTTACTAACAGAACTAAGACTAAATGTGAGGGTTAAAAGAAAGTACATTATATATGCCTGCATGCTCAGGCAATATACAGTACAATTATATTAAAAAATTGAACATCTGTAAAACATGTTGTTTACAGTAATATTATTGGTATTAGTATTATTCTGAGAAGACTGTTGTTTGTTATATGGGATAAAACAAATGAGCAAGTTATAGGATAGTGTATCATGCCCTGTGTTCCTTGAAAACTGGGTGTGAAGGAAAGGATAGGTAGATGTAATATAGAAGAGATGAAGTAAAACTCTGGTTCTGAATTTGAATTAGAAAATCAGTATGAACTCATATTTTACCTTTAAGTAGTTGTGTATGTGTATGTATTTGTATATGATATAGAGATAAACAGATATCCTAGCTGCATCTGCTGAAAAGGCCTGGAAATATGGTCACTCCGATTGCAATGTGCATACCTAGCATCCAGCGCCCCAGAGCTTATTGAAGAGAAGTTGGGTCTAGGCAGGGGGCAGGTAATGTACAAAATGAACTGCAACATCTTTGCCTACCAGATGGCAAGTAAACTATCAAAGGGTCATGAGTATTATTGAGGTCATGACAAAAGACATGGAGGCCAACCTCAAGAGGCTTCCAGATGGGACAATATTAGTTTCAATAAGAATAATAGTTACATTGGGTGGAGACATGTATGTCTAAATTTATGAGTTCACAGTGATAATGAAAAATAAATAGCTACTTGGTAACAGTCAGAGGATGACAGAACACCAATTCATTATTCTCAAAACTGCTAAAAGAAAGTGAAACATTTACTC